ACGAGCCTGATTGGAGGGGTGAAACAGCTATTGGCGTCATGTGTAAACTGTTTTGTTTTGGCCATTTGTGTTTTGACTTTTGGCCATTTGTATTCTGGCCTCAACGTTCTTAACCTTCTCAGGTTGTTTGTCTCGCCATGTATTGGTGTCATGTGTAAACTGTTCTGTTTTGATCATTTGGCTTTTGGCTTTTGGCCATTTGTGTTTTGGCCTCAACGTTTCTTAATGAACCTGCAAGGGATCCTGTCTAAATCTGCAGTGTTGAATCTCATGAACACATTAAATAAATTACTATATATCATAAAATACAAATAAAGCCAATATATGAAGAAATTTAATGTTTAGGCCAATATGACATGTATGAATGATTATACCCTTTTGTTCATGGAGATCAAATCAACCTTACCCTTACTGGAAAAGTAGTGACATGAAGGCTTTTATGCCCTTTTGATCATGGAGATCAAGCCAGTCTTACTCTTACTGAAGAAGTAGTGAGATGTTGGTTTGTAACTGAATGACTTGTTTGTAGTGAGAGAGGGATTTGTAATAAGGATTTCAAGGTTTTAGGGTTCTTGAAAGAATTTGATATTCTGACAGTGTTGTGGCCAGGTTTTTTTTCTCTCCTCCCTGGTTTGTGTGAAAATAATGTGATTATATAATGGAAATTAGGGTAAAGAAAATGGACTTTGAATGTGCAATTGGGCCTCCAATGTTCACTTGAGTTCGTCACTTTCCAGGTTAAATCGCAGGGACTTAAGTGCAATTTCTGAAGTTGAAATGTGAAAACAAAATGTAGCCTACATCGAGAACTAACTCCTGTCCGAAAATCGAATCAATCGGATAAACGGTGAATTAGTTATGAATTTTTGAAGTTTCAGCTCAGACAAACTTATTTTGGGCTCCAGTGTCGACTCTAACACGTTCTTCAATAAAAAACTGGTATTGATCGGAGCATAATCTGGTATCGACTTTTGAAGCAAAGTTGTAGATCTATGAGTCAGGGACCTTGTGTAAAAATATGAGCTCAATCCGATAAAAATTGACCGAGTTATGAATTTTCGAAGTTTCGGCCCAGATGAAATAATATTCAGCATTCAGGATTTTCAGCGTGTCACGCACTCTGAGCAAAAAACGAAGGCCTTTTGAATACCTTTTGAACTCAATACCTTCTGTGAAAATGTAGCCAACTCAATTTGTGAAATTTTGGCGCCGGAACCAGCTCGATATGATGAAAATCAACCAAGTTATGATTTTCTGAACATGATGCAAATAAACTTCTGTCACAAATTTTCTCTATGGAAATACTTGATAAATCCACATTTTTGAAGACCTTCTGATCGAAATCGGCTTCCAGCCGTGAGAGATGAAAACGTAGATAATGTTAAGATGGAATTTTGGCCAACGGAACGGGTTCAAAACGAGCCACGATCTTCAAGTTATAAATTTTTAGCGCGTAAAAACTGCACTTTCAACACACTTTTTCACCATATTTCTTCAAGAAAACTTACACATTCGGATACCTTCTTTAAAGAATTGACTCTTGAGCCGAACCTGAATTTGAGAATATGTTATCAGAGATATCTTGGTGAAAGAACACCTGAATATGACGCGCCGGGTTGGACTTGTGAATTTTTCTTGAAATGTTTTGAGAAATATGGGAGGGCAAATTTTGGGGTACAACAAACTGGAAGAGAACTTTCACCATGTCTTCTTCAATGTTGGAGTTGACCAAGTTGAGAAGTCTACCATGTCTTTCACTGAAGAGAGAATTCTCCGGAATCCTGGAAGTAAGCTCCTTGAGTTGAGGAGGGATTCTCACAAGGTTGACTTGAATTGTTTTCCTGCGAAGGGATTCCATGACCTACAAAACAGGAACAAAGATGAAGATCCAAACCCTTGAAATAGTTAGTGGATGCAAATGATGCTTCATGATGTTCATGATGTATGCACAAGCATATGTACAATCGAATCACACAAGATCCTAGTTTCAGGCTTGCATGGGGTTTCATAGGTAAGTACCCTCTTGAAGTTCGTTGGCTCAACCTGTCCTATAAATAGTAACCGGGTTCTAAGGAGCTCAATATCACTGGATTATTTTCTGCGTTCATTGTTTCGGTTTAGCCACTTAACTGGCAACCGAAATATTCCAAGAAAACAACCCTCAATGAGTGTAGTATCGAGTATCTACCAACTTCGGACTTGTTGTACCCCAAATTTTGACCTAAGACACCGTCTTCCATCTGCATCATTCGCATTGCAAGAGTTTTGACCTATTTTTATCAAATTTTCAAAGCAGTTAAAAATTCATAACTTTTTCGAGTCGGGAGCTGTTTATTTGTTGAACGCTAAATTTATTAACTGATCAAGACTTAAACAATGTTCATTAATTATTTATTATCTTAAATTCAAATAATTGGAATTTATTTTCGATTATTACGTAATTTAAAGATTTATAAATAATAAAAAGATTATTTGAGAAAAGGTTTATTAATTGATCAAATAATGTTTATTAATTATTCATTATCCTAAATTTAAATAATGGGAACCTGTTTTCCGTTATTATATAATTTGAAGGTTTATGAATAATGAAATAAACATTTGAAAATGAGTATATTAATTGATCAAACAATGTTTATTTGATTATTTATTGTTCTAAATTTAATAGCTGAAATTCTATTTTTTCAAGTTATTATAATTTAGAAGAATAAAAAATAATAATAAAATAAATGATTGAAGTTATTAATTGATCAATGATATTTATTTGTTTGTTTATCATTCTGAATTTAAATGATTAGATTTGATTTTTTAGTCATTATATAATTTAAAGAATTATAAACAATAAATAAATAATTGGAAAGAAAAAGAATTAATTGAGAAATAATAGAATTTTTATTCACTTTATTCTATTTATTACAATTGTCATTTAAATATTTGTGTTATTACAAAATATTTATAAAGGCAATATACAAATGCTTAAAGTAAAATAAAAAGCTATTTTTTTAAATTCTAATTCTAAATCTTCCATCCAATGCTCTTGTTTGCTCATTTAATTTTACCTGCGAAAACGATTAAAAGAAAAGTCAGAATTGAATAAATAATTAAAATGCAGAAAATAAATTCAATGTTCATCATTAAAAGCAATGGCCGGAATCAGTTACTCTTTTTTTGCAAATCACGGGATTTCTCCCGGTTCACAAAAAAGAGAGGAATTTTTAAATGAATGCATAATTAAAAATAGCACATTTCAAAATCAATTGCATTTTTATCAAAAAAACCCACTGCATATTTCAAATATGCATAAACTCATTTTTGGTCAAAGCTGCATAAAACATATGAAACAGCATATGCAAGTTCATAACATAAGCCAACGTTAACCTGCACCACATAGGAGATAACATAGGCTAATGCAAGAAAAAAGAAAATGTAATTCCAACAATATGCAATTTCAAACATGTGCAGTCTTAAAACTATGTATGCAAGCAACCTATATTTCCTTTTTTCATCATATTCCAGCCTATTGCTTTTTCAGACAGCAGTACAGCATATCACATTTATGTATCATTTCTGTACTTGAGAGAGAAGAGGGAAGAGGTTCAGTTTTGCAGGTTTTTGGTTTAAGCATGAAATGGGAATAAAGTCACTTGTAGCAGCATAGGTGCAAGCATCAGGAAAATAATTAAATACTCAAACCTGAGCCATGACAAAGAGGAGCAACGGTCATATGAGAAGAAACCCCCTTCAAGAGGATAAGTTTTAGCTTGCATAAGAAGACTACACAAGACTACCAGAAAAGATAACATAGTCCATGTTAAAACTGCATGCTATCAAAACAAAACGAGATAACCTCCATTCTGCATAATCTCATTCTGCATAATCCCATTCTGCATAATCCCATTCTGCATAATCCAACCTGCATATGGTTAAACCTGCATATTGCAAAAGAACCTGCATCAAACTATTCAAAGCCATAACATTGCAAAACCACATAACCTGCATACTGTATCAAAACCATAAAAAACAGTATAATCCATCCAAAAAACCATTTATTCAATATTTCCAACCAGTTTTTTAGACGGAGAAGAAGAGAAGAATTAGTAGCAGAAAGCAAAGAGCGAGAAGTCTTCGGAGCTTACCTGACTTCGCCGGAATCGTACCGTCGGACTAGCTCCGACCATGTGAGTTTCTTCAGTTTTTCGCATAAACCTTTATACCGTTGTGTTGCCTTTGTCTCACTTAATAATCCTCTCTCAATTTCCTGAAATCATGTAAAATGGCCATTTTAATATCATTGCGAATCATCAATACATTAAATCCCTATTTTAACACAGGCAATAATTTGATCGATAAATTTCAAGATTCATAGTGTTGCAAAACCGGCACAATCATAACATACTGTTAATTTAAAGCCAACTTGTAAAAAATACAGAAAATTCACAAACCTTTTTCAATTACTCATTCGGACTTCGCGGTTCATTACTACCATCTTCGTTCAATTCTCCTGTCGCTCTTAAATCCGCATCTGATACAACGATATCATCGCTTCTATACCCGAATTTTCGTCTTCATCACAGCATCACCACATTTTCATCGGGTTGTTTCTCTACTTCAATCACCACGTGCAACATTAGAAACAATTCGGATATAGAGCTTTTTTCATAAAAAAAGAAGATTAAGAAGGCCACTTATATTAGAAAATATACACAGGAAGATCATAACATACCTTTAATCTCTGTTTCCATAACCCTCATGTTAAAACTTTTCTTCGACAACATCATCGCGTTTGCATCATTGTGAACGATGCACATCTTCTGCGAATCCAACAAACCGTGCTAACAGTATCCATCATTATCTCCTCCTGTAATCACACCCTTTTACGGATTCAAATCCAAACCAAAACCATTATTTCACCACAAAAGCATACCATTCAAATCTGAAATTTGAAGAGGAAAAGAAGCGAAGTACCTTTAACCTTCATCCGCTCTCTATCTACTTTATCCCCATCAATTTTCCACCTTCTCTCTGCAATCATCACCATCACCTTCTTCAACTCTAATACAACCGTCCTTCTTCTCCCGCTCAAATCGATGGAAGAACCTGTATTGCAATAGATTTTGGCTATCTGTCCTTGTTTCCTGACTTTGGTTAAGGGAAGAAGTGGAGGATCCCCAAATTAGACTGAATTGATAGTGTCGTGTACCTGTACAACAACTTTTACGAATAGTTGCTAGTTGATGAGTGTGAGCAACAAGCCAAATCAAAACCCTTCCTTGGGTGCAGCCACAATCTGTAAAAGGAACAAACCAGGAAAATAAATGACAATGTGTAATGAAAATCATGTTAATAACAAAAAAGGAACATCTATGCAATAGGGACATTGTATAAACCAACATTTTGAAGTACCTATCCTCAAATAAATGACAATGTGTGTAATGAAAATCATGTTGTAACATAACCCAGTAACTCAAGCGAAAAATGATTCATCGACATTAACATGGAAATAGATAGCAAATTGGCAACATTCATTGAAAATATATACAACATTATAGCTTGATACTTGATACAATTGTTCATTACAAATTCATTTGCTACTGGATAAAATAATACCTAGATTACATAGAACATGCATGAATGAAATGAACATAAAAAATGATAGCTATCATAATAAATATTGTTGTTTCTTCGTCTTAGTCACAAGGGTTAGACAATTATACAAACACCTTGTAGGAAACCGATGTCAAAAACAGTTTGATCATAATTTTCACAAATATCTTGTGAGCTGACTGATTATAATATGTGAGGTTCAAGTAGCTTTACAGCTTCTCAGAAAGCATTATGTGACTGTTGAAGCTCCGAATACTTTTTCTTCAGCTGCATACAAAAAATCAAAACAGAGCATGCATTTTGAAAGCGGATATGAAGCTTCTTTAAATTTGTGCAGCCAATAGCTATACCACACATGGCTTCATCTCATATGCTTGAGCAATCTACCAAGTGAAGAGCTTGCAAGAATTTACATCCCTCTCCAACCTGAAGAAGCCCAAGATCCCCAATTCTTTGACAGTAAAGCAATGATAAATATGAGAGATGCCTGCATAACAAAGAGCTTAGATTAACCTCATTGATCAAATTTGAACATTTAATAACTTGTGCCATCAACTATTATCATCAAACACAACATACGCTCTTCTCATCCAAATCGCATCCCTCGCTTAATCGCCATTTTCATCAACCTGTTTCAACAGTCACAACGATGTTTCAAAAATCTGGAAATCATCACAGTACACATAATTCATAAAAAATTCATAAGAGGTCAACGAAATCACCATCATCTCTGTCATCGAACCGTCGCTCAACCCACCTATCATCCTTCCGTCCTTCATCTCCATCACTCAATTTCCAAAACCCATTTCGCCCTCTTCCATCTGCAAAGCCTTGTGAAGCATAGAAATAAGCCGGAGAGAAGAATTTGGCTTCAGATTCCGGTGCATGCGCAAAAGGAACGCGTGGAATAATTTAGCGTTTTAGACAGCCATCCGGCGGCGGCCGTGGCACAACCTTTCTTAGGTTTTTTTCGCTTCAGCATTTGTGTTTCTTCCTCTTGGGTCTGGGTCTTCCAACGACCCGGCCCATTTCCCTCACCCGCTCCACTCTCTTCAACTAAGCCCATTTTCTTTTTCAGCTTAAGCCCGCTCTCATTGCCATTCACTCCATCTTGTATATGCTCTTTAGTTAGATTTGATTCATTTTCTTAAGTAACTTATTTAATTTAGACTCAGTAGTTTCCTAGAAATAAGCATATAATTAAACATTTTAATAATTTGACCCTTTTTTTATTTTATTAGTTTAATTTTAGGATTAATCTATTAATTTTAGTTTTTTTAACTAGATTTAATTTAAGGGCTTAAAGATTTAATCTAATTGTTTAATAACTCTTAAATAATACTCTGTGTTATTAATAAAAAAACATAAAAAAAAATAGAAACATATAAAATCTAAAAAACATTTCTATTAATTCTCATTACCTTTTATCATTAAAAATGCGTAAAAAAGTGAAAACCAATTAAACTTTTCTTTTCGCCTACTAAACAAAAATCTAAAAAATGCATGTTCACATTTAATTGTTGTGTATCATTTTCTGTCAATTATTTCATTGTACTTGTTTATTCTGTTTGCACCAATCCAAAGGAAATTGTCTAATTTTTGTTGACTTCATGTCCTCAAAAACGATCGAGCGAATACTCTCATTCATTAAAAACTTAGGTTAATTTTCCTCAAATATTCACCTTTTTTTCAAAATTTCAACCTCTTCAAGACCCATACCTTTTAAACAAAAACTTCGACATTAGGTCGTCGTATTTTTAAAAACCCGTCCGTATCCCTTTTTCGGCCAAAACGATTTATTTTCAATCAAGCGATCAATTTTAAATAAAACAGATATTTCAAAAGGTTCCTATAGAGTACTATAGATGCATTGGGTGCTAGTACCTTCCCATTGTATAACCAACCCCCGAACTCTCGATCTCTTTTCAAAAACGCTTTGTATTTTTATTATTATTTACATTGCATATTTAGGGTTTTATTTCGCTCTTTTCCCTTTTCCTTTGGAAATAATAAAGTGCGGTGGCGACTCTTGCTTTTGTGAGACGAATTAATCAATAATTCGATCTCCGATTTACCCCGCTACATTTTTTATCGCTACAGAATTGGCGACTCTGCTGGGGAGAGATTGACCTCTTGCTGGTCCATCCCTAAGTGGGTTAAGCCTAATTTGTTTTATCTGTTTACTACTATTTGATTTGCTTGATTACGTGTTTATATTTGGGGTGTTTGGGTTTTTTTGCAAAGGACGAATCCCATACCCGGATTAAGTAACACTTAAGGAATAGGACGGGCGGTATAGTCATGTTAACTTTGAGGGAGTAATCCCGAAGAAGGAGGCATGAGATCCCCCATTCAATGGAAGGCCCTCTTGAACTTAATATTTGTTTACCGAGTAATCGGGAAGACATTATTATTTTCGACCTAGGAGCCCGAGAAGTTGAGGACCGTAGAACCCTAACCCATCTTGGCCTTTTTAGGTGTAGCGCGGAGACTATAACGGAGTAATTCGGAAGTAGTTGTTACGCGATGCTACGCTCGGACAAGTTTCTCTTGAGAATATTGCTAATTATTGAGTAATCAAGACATTGGCAATATCCGAAGGAGGAATGTAGACTCTGGGAACTCTTAGAACCTTGTCTTACAGGTGTGATTAAACCCTTAGTACATACCTTTGGGTGGGCTTTACCCTTGACTCCATGCGGAATGTTGAACCTTTAAACCCCCATGTTTGTGACCTTGCTTGTGGTTGTTGCATCGCCATGCATTCATGCATCCATAAAACTCTTTTCACTTGACTTTGAAGGAGTTTGGAGGTCTTTCTTTGTAAACATCACTAGTTTCGTCAAACTCAATGGATCTTGGGTGTCGATAGGGCGAAAACCCTAATCCACCAAAATGGATGATTGATCTTGACGATAACTTGATCAATGTTTGGAGCCAATTTAAAATTCATCTGTTATCTTCATACTTGGATGTTTATAACTTGATATCTTGAGTTCCTTGAAAGTCAAATAAAACTCTTTTGCATATCATACATCATTCTACATCTTTCTTTGTCTCACTTTCAAAGGTCTTTTTCCGAGTCTTTTTTTTTTCTTGGTCTCACTAGTACAACACTCGCGCTAAGAGGACAATGGAGAATATCAAGCAAGAGGTTTATGAACTCCGCAGAGAGGTGACTATTTTGAAAGCTGGTTTGGATCACTTAACTGGTTTGGTTGAAATTCTGATCTCCGCCCAAGTCAATCCATCTAGGAGGGAGGAAGCAAGGATAGAAGTCTTCACGGAGACTCTAAAATCTTTTTCTCATGAAAAGGTGACGGTTAATGCACCTGACGACTTTCCTGACAAGGTGAATGTGGGAGCGCGTCTAGAAGAAGATGTCGGAAAAGGATGTTTATATGAAGTGGGTAGCTCAATTAATGGTGTGAAGAAGTTTGATAATGACTTTTCCAAGAGGAGAACCAGAGGAAGAGATAATCATCATCAGAATCATCACGTTCACCAACAGAATCAGCAAGTTCCTAATCAGAGGAAAACCCAGTTTGATTCAATTCCAATCACCTATACAGAGTTGTTCCCTATCCTGTTGCAGAGGAATTTGGTTCAGACCCGACCTCCACCGAAGGTCCCTAAGAAGATACATTGGAACTACAAAGCTGATTTGGCTTGTACTTTTCATCAAGGTGCTCGTGGGCATGACTTGGAGGGTTGCTTCGCTTTGAAGATTGAGGTTCAGAAGTTGGTCAGAGGTGGTATCTTGTCGTTCAAAGACGTTGGTTTTGAAGTTCAAATCAAACAGGCGCCGAAGAGTAAACACGTTTGAGGGTGACTTTGAGTTTTGAAGATGTTTTCGGTAGTTCAAGTGGAAAGCCTTCCCAGATTATTAACTTGTTTCTGCTTTTGTAGCTTTTCTTATTTATCGAAACATTGTTTGCATGAAAGAACTTGTTTGCGTCTAAATGGTTATTTTAATACAATGAGTATGTTTGTCTTGAAGAAATTCATTCGTTTCACTCATATTTGCTCTCAAATTTTAAATTTCTTTTGCATTATGATACCAACATGTTGCCCATTCTCTTGCCTAGGCAGAGATTGAAGGGGGGGATGATGATCTAAAGAACACAAAATCTTTGGTTGCATGCTTTTGAATAAAATCTTGTTGATGATGTACAGGCATTGTTTCAAATCCCTAAACACCGGAGATATAAGGAAGATAATCCCTTGCTAACCCCTTTTGAGCCTTTGAAGCAGAAGTTTCTTTTCTATACAAAAAAACCTTGAATTTTAACCTGGGGCAGGGTAGTTTTCAATTAATTTGATTGAGTGTTCAAAATTCGCAAGGAAGATGTTACCGTCACAAAATCCTTTGAGAGATGAACACTCATGTTGAATTAACCGAACATAGAGTTGGAGAACATCATGAAGAATGGGTGGGCACCAAATATTTTGAGCCTTAAAATCTTTTCTAAAAAACCATGAATCAGACCACATTACAACCTTCAAAAGTCCTAATTGAAGCAAGGTTATTTTGAAAGCATATTTCAATGAGACAATGTTCCTGACTCCCATGAATGTTCTAAATAGTTATGTTGGTATCATATGTTTTTCCTATACAAAAATAAATGGTGCTTTAACTCGCGAAATTTGTGCGATATCTTTCAAAATCTTCAAGACTTACATAACTGTTGCATTAGAATTCTCATTCTCATTGTAAACTTTTTCTAACTGCAAAACATTTGTTTGATATCAAGGAAGCTCACATAAACACCAGTGATGAGTTTACCCTTTTAAGGCTTGAAACTATGTTGAGTAATTGGCGGATCACGTCAAGAAAATCATATCCAGGGGCATGTCAGTTGAGGACCTTAAGCACGGACAGGTTGCTTCTCCTAGTTGTTGCTTTTCCCAATTTGTTTGCTCGTTTGGGGCAAAAATTCGAAGACTTTGTTGTGCCGACTACAGTCAATCCGGGGCAATCACGTCAAGATTGGATGATTTCCTCTAAAGTTTGAAGACACCAGAGCATGGTGAATGCCAGGTCTTTTGTAAACCCTCTTGAGACGCTTTCTCCTCATCAACCTTTTAGCTTGGGGCATTCTAGAAGTGAAACTATTCGCAAGAATCGTCGTGCATCATGCAGCTCATCAGCAGTAATTTGGGGCATCCAATATTAATCCCAGGGGCAATCCAGATTTGTCAGGATGTGTGTTATGTATTGCACACTTTATCAGAGGGCGGTGTTCCCAGTATCTCCAGCTGAGCATGACTCTTTCCAGCTGAAGCATTTGTTCGTGTTGTTATCCTTTCAATGGGTTGTCAGCAGTAGAGGACTGGACTTTGGGTTTTCTACTCGAAATATCTTCCTCTCCAAGAGATTTGAGCTTTGTAGGATAACTTTGCTCCTTTGATGGCTTTTATCTTCTATCTCCAGTGATGTTCCCCTCCTTTTGCGATTAGCCGAGCATCGGGTTGTACTGTGATGTCTTATCATCTTCTGTCCATCTCCCCTGTCGTTTTTGTCAGCATACACATGACATTCATTCACACTTGCATCATGCACGCACAGTTGTATTTGTTGATGTCATTGAGTTCGTACACCTCGGTTGTGCCTTTTCAAATAGCACATTTGATCTTTCCAAATAGAGTGCCAACTTAAGCATAAAATGTGCCTCCTTTCTAATTCCCCAACTGAGCTAATCCTTGTGGATGATTTTTGATTTAGCTTACCTTGTCCATTTCTGGATAGGATAATTTCCCCAATCGATTTACTTTCTCATTGGGAGGAGTCTTGTTTGACTGTTTTTCTCTCTGGTTATTCCTGGATGAAGTTGTTGCCTCTTGCATAGGCTATCTCAGTGATTTTCCCCAGTGAAATTGCGACCTAGACGGCTGGTGCATTTATTTTGCACATTTAAGTATATGATCTCCTCGGGAAGGACTGATTCAGGGTTCTCTTTGATGAAGATTTTTATTCTCTGCCAATATCATCGCAGTTTCCTTCTGAATTATGTTGGAAAACGACAAGCGGTAGCTCTTCACGAGCAACTTGTACATTACTTTTTCTGAAGCGCCGAGCAGCAGTTCTTCATGAGCTACTAGTGCGTCATTTTATTTTTCTGAAAGCGCCGAGCAGCAGTTCTTCATGAGCTACTAGTGCGTCATTTATTTTTCTGAAAGCGCCGAGCAGCAGTTCTTCATGAGCTACTAGTGCGTCATTTTATCTTTTCTGAAGCGCCGACCAGCAGTTCTTCATGAGCTACTAGTGCGTCATTTATTTTTCTGAAAGCGCCGAGCAGCAGTTCTTCATGAGCTACTAGTGCGTCATTTATTTTCTGAAGCGCCGAGCAGTAGTTCTTCATGAGCTACTAGTGCGTTATTTATTTTCTGAAGCGCCGAGCAGCAGTTCTTCATGAGCTACTAGTGCGTCATTTTATCTTTTCTGAAGCGCCGAGCAGCAGTTCTTCATGAGCTACTAGTGTGTCGTTTTATTTTTTCTGAAAGCAACGAGCAGCAAACTCTTCATGAGTTACCAGTACGTTATTACTTTTCTTCGGAATACAGCAAGTGGTAGCCTCTTTATTTGAGCAGCTTGTATGTTATCGGTATTTTCTTCGGAATACAGCAAGTGGTAGCCTCTTTATTTGAGCAGCTTGTATGTTATCGGTATTTTCTTCGGAATACAGCAAGTGGTAGCTTCTTTATTTGAGCAGCTTGTTTGTTATCGGTATTTTCTTCGGAAAACAGCAAGTGGTAGCCTCTTTATTTGAGCAGCTTGTTTGTTATCGGTATTTTCTTCGGAATACAGCAAGTGGTAGCTTCTTTATTTGAGCAGCTTGTATGTTATGGGTATTTTCTGTGGACGACAACAACTGGTAATTTTCTTTATTTGAACAACCTTCGTATCTACAGTCTCATTACCTCAGCATTAACGAGTATCTCTAAAAATCTCGCAAAGAAGTCTGTTACGAATCTGTACCTCCAGAAGTCGGTAACCAGTTATCAGCAATTTGATACTCTCTGTCTACCGTCGACTTTGAGTTGCGAACTCACTGTTTTGGATCAATGACCTGTTATGGCCTATGCAAGATGCTCTCTTTGTTAGGGTTAGAGGTTGTTTCCCCTCGTTTTTATTCGCTGTCAGGAGTCTGTCGTTTGAAGTCGATAGCTTGTTTCCCGTATAGCGTTTAATTCATGTCTCTGTGTTTTGTTGGTGTTCGATTCCCCCAGCATTATCGTGTTTCATACAATATCTTCTCTGTGAATTCATGCACTACATTCAACACTACATGATGACGGCATCTTAGGACAAAATTTGCGTAATTATGTATTTAAGTACCTTCAATCTCGTCGAGACGAAGACTTTAATCTTCATATCTCCGGATAGAAGGAACTTAAATAGGGGCAGCTGTTGTACCCCAAATTTTGACCTAAGACACCGTCTTCCATCTGCATCATTCGCATTGCAAGAGTTTTGACCTATTTTTATCAAATTTTCAAAGCAGTTAAAAATTCATAACTTTTTCGAGTCGGGAGCTGTTTATTTGTTGAACGCTAAATTTATTAACTGATCAAGACTTAAACAATGTTCATTAATTATTTATTATCTTAAATTCAAATAATTGGAATTTATTTTCGATTATTACGTAATTTAAAGATTTATAAATAATAAAAAGATTATTTGAGAAAAGGTTTATTAATTGATCAAATAATGTTTATTAATTATTCATTATCCTAAATTTAAATAATGGGAACCTGTTTTCCGTTATTATATAATTTGAAGGTTTATGAATAATGAAATAAACATTTGAAAATGAGTATATTAATTGATCAAACAATGTTTATTTGATTATTTATTGTTCTAAATTTAATAGCTGAAATTCTATTTTTTCAAGTTATTATAATTTAGAAGAATAAAAAATAATAATAAAATAAATGATTGAAGTTATTAATTGATCAATGATATTTATTTGTTTGTTTATCATTCTGAATTTAAATGATTAGATTTGATTTTTTAGTCATTATATAATTTAAAGAATTATAAACAATAAATAAATAATTGGAAAGAAAAAGAATTAATTGAGAAATAATAGAATTTTTATTCACTTTATTCTATTTATTACAATTGTCATTTAAATATTTGTGTTATTACAAAATATTTATAAAGGCAATATACAAATGCTTAAAGTAAAATAAAAAGCTATTTTTTTAAATTCTAATTCTAAATCTTCCATCCAATGCTCTTGTTTGCTCATTTAATTTTACCTGCGAAAACGATTAAAAGAAAAGTCAGAATTGAATAAATAATTAAAATGCAGAAAATAAATTCAATGTTCATCATTAAAAGCAATGGCCGGAATCAGTTACTCTTTTTTTGCAAATCACGGGATTTCTCCCGGTTCACAAAAAAGAGAGGAATTTTTAAATGAATGCATAATTAAAAATAGCACATTTCAAAATCAATTGCATTTTTATCAAAAAAACCCACTGCATATTTCAAATATGCATAAACTCATTTTTGGTCAAAGCTGCATAAAACATATGAAACAGCATATGCAAGTTCATAACATAAGCCAACGTTAACCTGCACCACATAGGAGATAACATAGGCTAATGCAAGAAAAAAGAAAATGTAATTCCAACAATATGCAATTTCAAACATGTGCAGTCTTAAAACTATGTATGCAAGCAACCTATATTTCCTTTTTTCATCATATTCCAGCCTATTGCTTTTTCAGACAGCAGTACAGCATATCACATTTATGTATCATTTCTGTACTTGAGAGAGAAGAGGGAAGAGGTTCAGTTTTGCAGGTTTTTGGTTTAAGCATGAAATGGGAATAAAGTCACTTGTAGCAGCATAGGTGCAAGCATCAGGAAAATAATTAAATACTCAAACCTGAGCCATGACAAAGAGGAGCAACGGTCATATGAGAAGAAACCCCCTTCAAGAGGATAAGTTTTAGCTTGCATAAGAAGACTACACAAGACTACCAGAAAAGATAACATAGTCCATGTTAAAACTGCATGCTATCAAAACAAAACGAGATAACCTCCATTCTGCATAATCTCATTCTGCATAATCCCATTCTGCATAATCCCATTCTGCATAATCCAACCTGCATATGGTTAAACCTGCATATTGCAAAAGAACCTGCATCAAACTATTCAAAGCCATAACATTGCAAAACCACATAACCTGCATACTGTATCAAAACCATAAAAAACAGTATAATCCATCCAAAAAACCATTTATTCAATATTTCCAACCAATTTTTTAGACGGAGAAGAAGAGAAGAATTAGTAGCAGAAAGCAAAGAGCGAGAAGTCTTCGGAGCTTACCTGACTTCGCCGGAATCGTACCGTCGGACTAGCTCCGACCATGTGAGTTTCTTCAGTTTTTCGCATAAACCTTTATACCGTTGTGTTGCCTTTGTCTCACTTAATAATCCTCTCTCAATTTCCTGAAATCATGTAAAATGGCCATTTTAATATCATTGCGAATCATCAATACATTAAATCCCTATTTTAACACAGGCAATAATTTGATCGATAAATTTCAAGATTCATAGTGTTGCAAAACCGGCACAATCATAACATACTGTTAATTTAAAGCCAACTTGTAAAAAATACAGAAAATTCACAAACCTTTTTCAATTACTCATTCGGACTTCGCGGTTCATTACTACCATCTTCGTTCAATTCTCCTGTCGCTCTTAAATCCGCATCTGATACAACGATATCATCGCTTCTATACCCGAATTTTCGTCTTCATCACAGCATCACCACATTTTCATCGGGTTGTTTCTCTACTTCAATCACCACGTGCAACATTAGAAACAATTCGGATATAGAGCTTTTTTCATAAAAAAAGAAGATTAAGAAGGCCACTTATATTAGAAAATATACACAGGAAGATCATAACATACCTTTAATCTCTGTTTCCATAACCCTCATGTTAAAACTTTTCTTCGACAACATCATCGCGTTTGCATCATTGTGAACGATGCACATCTTCTGCGAATCCAACAAACTGTGCTAACAGTATCCATCATTATCTCCTCCTGTAATCACACCCTTTTACGGATTCAAATCCAAACCAAAACCATTATTTCACCACAAAAGCATACCATTCAAATCTGAAATTTGAAGAGGAAAAGAAGCGAAGTACCTTTAACCTTCATCCGCTCTCTATCTACTTTATCCCCATCAATTTTCCACCTTCTCTCTGCAATCATCACCATCACCTTCTTCAACTCTAATACAACCGTCCTTCTTCTCCCGCTCAAATCGATGGAAGAACCTGTATTGCAATAGATTTTGGCTATCTGTCCTTGTTTCCTGACTTTGGTTAAGGGAAGAAATGGAGGATCCCCAAATTAGACTGAATTGATAGTGTCGTGTACCTGTACAACAACTTTTACGAATAGTTGCTAGTTGATGAGTGTGAGCAACAAGCCAAATCAAAACCCTTCCTTGGGTGCAGCCACAATCTGTAAAAGGAACAAACCAGGAAAATAAATGACAATGTGTAATGAAAATCATGTTAATAACAAAAAAGGAACATCTATGCAATAGGGACATTGTATAAACCAACATTTTGAAGTACCTATCCTCAAATAAATGACAATGTGTGTAATGAAAATCATGTTGTAACATAACCCAGTAACTCAAGCGAAAAATGATTCATCGACATTAACATGGAAATAGATAGCAAATTGGCAACATTCATTGAAAATATATACAACATTATAGCTTGATACTTGATACAATTGTTCATTACAATTTCATTTGCTACTGGATAAAATAATACCTAGATTACATAGAACATGCATGAATGAAATGAACATAAAAAATGATAGCTATCATAATAAATATTGTTGTTTCTTCGTCTTAGTCACAAGGGTTAGACAATTATACAAACACCTTGTAGGAAACCGATGTCAAAAACAGTTTGATCATAATTTTCACAAATATCTTGTGAGCTGACTGATTATAATATGTGAGGTTCAAGTAGCTTTACAGCTTCTCAGAAAGCATTATGTGACTGTTGAAGCTCCGAATACTTTTTCTTCAGCTGCATACAAAAAATCAAAACAGAGCATGCATTTTGAAAGCGGATATGAAGCTTCTTTAAATTTGTGCAGCCAGTAGCTATACCACACATGGCTTCATCTCATATGCTTGAGCAATCTACCAAGTGAAGAGCTTGCAAGAATTTACATCCCTCTCCAACCTGAAGAAGCCCAAGATCCCCAATTCTTTGACAGTAAAGCAATGATAAATATGAGAGATGCCTGCATAACAAAGAGCTTAGATTAACCTCATTGATCAAATTTGAACATTTAATAACTTGTGCCATCAACTATTATCATCAAACACAACATACGCTCTTCTCATCCAAATCGCATCCCTCGCTTAATCGCCATTTTCATCAACCTGTTTCAACAGTCACAACGATGTTTCAAAAATCTGGAAATCATCACAGTACACATAATTCATAAAAAATTCATAAGAGGTCAACGAAATCACCATCATCTCTGTCATCGAACCGTCGCTCAACCCACCTATCATCCTTCCGTCCTTCATCTCCATCACTCAATTTCCAAAACCCATTTCGCCCTCTTCCATCTGCAAAGCCTTGTGAAGCATAGAAATAAGCCGGAGAGAAGAATTTGGCTTCAGATTCCGGTGCATGCGCAAAAGGAACGCGTGGAATAATTTAGCGTTTTGGACAGCCATCCGGCGGCGGCCGTGGCACAACCTTTCTTAGGTTTTTTTCGCTTCAGTATTTGTGTTTCTTCCTCTTGGGTCTGGGTCTTCCAACGACCCGGCCCATTTCCCTCACCCGCTCCACTCTCTTCAACTAAGCCCATTTTCTTTTTCAGCTTAAGCCCGCTCTCATTGCCATTCACTCCATCTTGTATATGCTCTTTAGTTAGATTTGATTCATTTTCTTAAGTAACTTATTTAATTTAGACTCAGTAGTTTCCTAGAAATAAGCATATAATTAAACATTTTAATAATTTGACCCTTTTTTTATTTTATTAGTTTAATTTTAGGATTAATCTATTAATTTTAGTTTTTTTAACTAGATTTAATTTAAGGGCTTAAAGATTTAATCTAATTGTTTAATAACTCTTAAATAATACTCTGTGTTATTAATAAAAAAACATAAAAAAAAAAAGAAACATATAAAATCTAAAAAACATTTCTATTAATTCTCATTACCTTTTATCATTAAAAATGCGTAAAAAAGTGAAAACCAATTAAACTTTTCTTTTCGCCTACTAAACAAAAATCTAAAAAATGCATGTTCACATTTAATTGTTGTGTATCATTTTCTGTCAATTATTTCATTGTACTTGTTTATTCTGTTTGCACCAATCCAAAGGAAATTGTCTAATTTTTGTTGACTTCATGTCCTCAAAAACGATCGAGCGAATACTCTCATTCATTAAAAACTTAGGTTAATTTTCCTCAAATATTCACCTTTTTTCAAAATTTCAACCTCTTCAAGACCCATACCTTTTAAACAAAAACTTCGACATTAGGTCGTCGTATTTTTAAAAACCCGTCCGTATCCCTTTTTCGGCCAAAACGATTTATTTTCAATCAAGCGATCAATTTTAAATAAAACAGATATTTCAAAAGGTTCCTATAGAGTACTATAGATGCATTGGGTGCTAGTACCTTCCCATTGTATAACCAACCCCCGAACTCTCGATCTCTTTTCAAAAACGCTTTGTATTTTTATTATTATTTACATTGCATATTTAGGGTTTTATTTCGCTCTTTTCCCTTTTCCTTTGGAAATAATAAAGTGCGGTGGCGACTCTTGCTTTTGTGAGACGAATTAATCAATAATTCGATCTCCGATTTACCCCGCTACATTTTTTATCGCTACAGGACTGTACCAAAGTCGTTCATCTCACTACTCCTAAAAAAGGCCAAGATGGTCAAGTAAGGTTCTAAGAGTTCATTAGTACTTCGTGACATCGCTCAGCGGCCCCGTATTCTCTTTGGTTGACTCAAAGGCTACCAGTACCCACAAATATGTCGCACTAATATAGCTATTGCTTCAACCGTGTCGGTATACCCCGCACAGTTTCCATAACATATTGTTATTTACCTATGAATGTTTCCCAAATTCGGGTAGAGGATTTCTAACCCAAACAAAAGGACCAAATGTAAAGCAATCAAGGCAAACAAGATAATCATGCAAAGGTGATCTAGAAACCCTAAGGTAACCCCACTTTTAGAATTTCTCCCCAGCAGAGTCGCCAGTTCTGTGATACGGTGGGAGAACTGACTTGGGATTTTGCGTTTGTTTTTGCAGTTGTTCGGTTTAGCAAGAGTCGCCACCGACTTTTTATTTTATCCTAAGGAAAGGTCAAAAAGCACAGGAAAGACCTTTGAGATGTTTTCTTGGGTTCGGGGGGTAGCTTATGAAAAGGGAAGGTGCTAGCACCCTTTTCATCCATGGTTATCCATGGGCTCTTAGTTACTTGTTTTAAATCACTTGCCTTTGCTTTTCAATTGTTTGAAATGGTGCTTTGTGTGTGTGGTTTTGAAAATGTTTTGAAAAAGATGCCTTGTCTAGGCAACCTTTGTAATGATTCTTGTTTGAATATATACAAAGGTGTGTGTCTTTTTGAAAAGATAATTTGATGTTTTGAAAGTTGTTTTGAAATTGTTTTGAAGTTGTGTTGTGAAGTGTGTTTGAAAAATGGCAAGAATGTTTTGCAAGATTTTTGATCAAGTAACTAAGAGTTGTCTACCCTATTTTACTCAAAGATCTTTCTTATGTTTTTTAATCCTTTTAACAGTGTTGTTTCACCATTGTATTTGGTGAACAACCTTGCGTTAGGATGTTAACGGGACAGGCGCGAGTCATTGTATACAATCATTGAAGGCAACTTGTGAGACACTCTAGCAATTTTGTAAGGGACGATATCGTTTTATCGAAGGCAACATCGAGGGTCATCGAGGGACTACGATCTTTGTTTATCGAAGGGGCATTTTCTAGAGTGTCTCATACTCGAGGGACATGATTGCATTTTCCGAGGCAACAAGCGAGGTTACCCTAGAGGTGCAAGTGTGAATGGTGTTTGTCATGTTCATGCATTTGTCTTTGTATTAGGTCATCTATCGATCGATTTTAGATTTTCACATACAAACCCTAATCTCTAATCATGGCATATTTAAAAATCATAAAGTGCGAGAATTAAATCCTAAGCTATTACAAAAGAGTATCCGGGGATGGGGGTACAAATTATTTACAAATGGGGATGAGTCTTATCAGAATAATGTCCCAAATATTATGGGTTACAACCAAATCGAATCGACGCAATTCAAATATTAACAAATTATAAGATAAAGAAAATCAGAGAAATATGAGATGTATGTATTTATTTACAAAGGATCAAATAAAAATTGTAACCTAAAAAGATTAAGTATTTATCACTATTTTTTTTGTATTTTTGTGGATTATATAGACAAAGAGTTTTAAAGAAAAGAAAAATCATTTTAAGTTAAAATTTTATTGTTTATGCATGTTTATTAAATATAATAATTATTAAGAAAAAAAAATTATTAAGAAAATTTATACAAAAATTTACTATATTTTTTATCTAACAAAAAAAAGGAAAAAAAAAAGAAATAGACTATAAAGAATGATAATAAAATGATAACAAAATGTTAGTTTTAAAAACATTTAAAAAAAGAAAAGACAATGGGCCCTAAAAAAAGTTCTTGAATGGCCCAAGGGAATTAAGAAGAAGAACAAATTTAATATAAAAAAAACTGAAGGAAAAAGGGGGTGGGCGCTGTTAAACGTTGGGCTTAGGGGTTTTGGCTTGGGCAGAGGCCCATGTGACGGGTTTGAACAAATTTTTAGGGTTGTTTCGTTTTGGATATTCAGAGATTAGGGTTTACAATTTGTACAGCAGCGCCGCTCCTCTCATCTTCGTCCTCTTCATCTCTCTCAAACCCATGGGGTTCTGATTTCTCCCTCCAAGCTCAAGGCTACCATAGCGTCACCTTCATCCATCTCTCTCCACGACGACACAAAACGACAGTTCGAAAGGTAAACTTTTTGTCTTGTTCTGGATGCGTTTTTTACAGTTTGCATGTTTAACTCTTGTAAGTTTTATTTTTTGCAAAGTTTAATTTTTTGGTGTTTATGATATGAGATGTAGGAAAATTAAGGGAAAAGACCATATCTTTGGCGTTTCGTTCTGTAAGACGATGGAGGGAGAGGAATGTGGGATTGGCGGCGCTCTCAGGTGGCCGAAGGAGGAGGAGCGTGATGATCGCGTTGGCTTTTCTGGTATTTCGTTTCTTTGTTTGATGATGATGTTATTTTTGAAAACACTTGCTTCGTTCTTCACTTCTGGATTTCCTCCTCTTCTTGGGTGTTGGCTTTTGATGATGAACTTTGTTTATTCTGAAAAAGCTATTTTGGTGTTTACTGATTGTTGATGATGAAGCTTTATGTTCTGAGACTTTTTTTTGATGTGTTTTTGTTGGCTTGAGTTGATGATGATTGATATATTCTGAAACCTATATCATTTTGCTTCTAGATTTTCCCTCTTTCAGGGGCCTGCTGATTTGATGATGAATATATGTGTTCTAAAAAAGCTATTTGTTGTTGTTGATTTGGTGTTTGGATGTTTTGTGATGATGAACTTGAACTGTGTTTGTAGTTTAGGCAAGACTGAGTTTGTGTATGCAAATTTGGGCTTGGCCTGAGTATTTTGGGCAAACAGACTTGAGTTGTTCTTGTTTGGATTTTGAACTTGCTTGTATTTAGGTAAGTTTTGCAGTTTGGATATGCTTACAGGTTTGTTGTGTAGTTGGACAGGTTTTAGTGTTTTGCAGATCTGAGTTTGCTTGTTGAAGGCAGGCTTGAATGGTTTGTGAGGCAGGTTGTGTTTAGAGGCAGTTTGATGAATTGGTTTTGACAGGTTCTTTTGTTTTGGATTTGTTTGTTGAGTTTTTGGGAAGGCATGCCTGTTGTTAGCTTGAGAGACTTCTGAGTTTAGAAGCAGGCTTGGTAAGCTTTAGGTAGGCTTGTGTTTGTATGGCAGGCTTGGACTTGTTTTGATTTGATTTGCAGTTTTTATGCAGGGTGCCTTGATAGCAGGTTTGCCATCTTTAAGGCAGGCTGTTTGAGTTTTAAACTTGCAGTTTTGCAAGTTTGAATAGGTTTTTCGTTGGTTTTGAAAACAGGCTTGAAGGCTTGTGAGTTTTGCTTGCCAGTTTGGAGGTTATGCCAGCTCTCTCCTTATCTCCCTTGTGTTTTGACTGTTATATATTTTCTTTGGTTCCTCTTATCTGTCTTTTACAGCCTGCCAAAACTGCAAACTGCAAAACCTATTCACTAGGTTCTCTCTTTCCTCTCTCTCCATAAGCATTTTTAATTGCTTATTTATCCTTTTATTTCTGAAAAATTGGGCTGTCTAGAAAATGATGAAAAAGCATCTTTGACAAGTTTTTACTTGTCAAACAAATTACTTCCTGCTGCCTTGCTTTTTGTCTGTTGCATTGCTGTTTTCATGCTGCATTACCATTTTTATCAAATCTGTCTTGTAACTTGGTTTTGGGCAATTTTGTACTGTAGTTGAATATGGGACTTTACTTGCTGCTGAGTTTATTCCTTTGCTTGACTTACCCTAGCAGTTTTGGCGCCTGTTTGTCTCTTTGAATTTGTACTACAATTTGCTTGGTTAATGTAGCTTGGCACTTAGTTTGTAACTCAGTTTGCTTGGTTAATGCAGCTTGGAACTTTTTGTGATTCAGTTTGCTTGGTTAATGCAGTTTGGAACTTTTTGTACTTGACCCATGTTTTTGCATTGAGTTTGACATGCTTGCA